GCTAGGCGCGCCGCTTTCTGCTTTTTCCCAAAGCGTTCGGGCGCTTGCGCTCCGGAGGTGTCTGCCGTTGCTAAGCAACCTTGAGCTGCGCTCTCCATTAATATCGGCTAAGATAAGTAGCTAGACTCTGAACAAATCTGTCTACAGGTGTAATATTAGTCAGTTGCAAAGAAAGTATTTCTGGCTAGCTGTAAGGTAATCACTGTTTGGATAATGAAAATATGCAGTATTTACCCAAGTAAACTACAGTTGGCTAATACATAATCACATACTTGTCATCAACACTTATGCATCTCCATTCACTGTTTGTTTCTCCAGTTGGTGACGAAATACTAGGCACTTGACAAATCGTACAGCTCTGGCTATTTCAGCTATGATCAGCTGTTCCTTCATCTTGGCTGAGCTTTCAATGTTGTTACGGAAGGGTGAAGCTGATTGGATAGTTCTTGTCACATGACCTGCGGTGTGCTTGCGGCATTCTAAAAAGTTCTTGTCTTCATCTAGACGGCATCAATTCTATTGTAAGCATACTTGGCACAAAATTACATTTAAAATAACAAACTTGAGTGCACAAAAGACATGTGATGTCTTAGTGAATGGCCCCATAGTGTCATATTTATGGGATGAACAAGCACATACAAGTGGAACACTTTCTTGGAACGCCAACCAATCAGATTTGAAGACCAGTACTGTTGTTTAAATGTGTATTAATTAGAATAAATGTTGTTCTACTCGCCTTCGATCACATTGAATCTCCTGAATCTGTTCCGTTCGCTGTTGAGGACCTGTAGTTGAAAATGTCCAAAGTCTGCATTGGTGATGTTTGTGATGGTCAGAGATCCATTGAGCAGCAGATCTTTCAGCTGCAGTCTGCCTCTGAAGCTCTCACTAATACTAGTTGCTCCTGATTCGGCTTTAACAATGAGACCGTTTTTAACTCCAAAGGTCCACAGTATCAGATCTCCTTCCTGTATTTCAATATTGGTCTCTAGAGTGACAGATTGTCCAACCTTCACTGACACTATCCCCACTTGATGTCAAAGCAACACAGAAACACAAATACAGAAAACAAAGTGTGAATTAATTTAATTTGCATTTTCAACAAATTCATTTTGATGGCATTTTTTTAAACCTAGTTTATGTTCGTAGTTTCAGCTCATCTGAAATCTGAATTACCTATGACTACCTATGATTCATCATCACAACTTTTCTTGTAATATTGTGATTTCTCTCAAAATATTTCTACATTATTTCTGCAATATAACTCCTTTAAGGCTCATTCACACCAAGAACAATAACTATAAAGATAAATATATTAGCATCCACACAAATGCACAATATTGTTCTGTTTATTATAAGCACACGCTGCAGTTTCGTCATTTCGAGCTTTAAGTGCTCGAGCTCTTCAAAGCAGGATAGATTGTGATTGGCTGTCAATATTTTTATCGCTCATCAGATGTTTGTGATGGTCAGAGATCCATTGAGCAGCAGATCCTTCAGCTGCAGTCTGCCTCTGAAGCTCTCACTAATACACTAGTTGCTCCTGATTCGGCTTTAACAATGAGACCGTTTTTAACTCCAAAGGTCCACAGTATCAGATCTCCTTCCTGTATTTCAATATTGGTCTCTAGAGTGACAGATTGTCCAACCTTCACTGACACTATCCCCACTTGATGTCAAAGCAACACAGAAACACAAATACAGAAAACAAAGTGTGAATTAATTTAATTTGCATTTTCAACAAATTCATTTTGATGGCATTTTTTTAAACCTAGTTTATGTTCGTAGTTTCAGCTCATCTGAAATCTGAATTACCTATGACTACCTATGATTCATCATCACAACTTTTCTTGTAATATTGTGATTTCTCTCAAAATATTTCTACATTATTTCTGCAATATAACTCCTTTAAGGCTCATTCACACCAAGAACAATAACTATAAAGATAAATATATTAGCATCCACACAAATGCACAATATTGTTCTGTTTATTATAAGCACACGCTGCAGTTTCGTCATTTCGAGCTTTAAGTGCTCGAGCTCTTCAAAGCAGGATAGATTGTGATTGGCTGTCAATATTTTTATCGCTCATCAGCTGAAAAATTATTTTGAAAGTTATTCCAATTATATCGTTCTGTGTCGTTAACATTATAGTTGTGGTGTGGGCACTATTCATTTGAATTTAGAAAGATTTTTATTAATATCTTTATTGTTATTGTGCATAGCATGAACAGACCTTTAGTTTCATAACTTTAGTATATTTGTGTAAGCACTTTTCACAATACACACTGTTTTGAAGCAGCTTCACTGAAATTCATAATGTTATTTTTAAAACATATATTAATGCCTCAGTTCAGAGAGAGGCGATACAGTGGGGAAAATATTCATTTGATCCCCTTCTGATTTTGTAAGTTTGCCCACTTACAAAAAAAAGAAGGGTCTGTAATTTTTATGGTGGGTTTATGTTAACGTATAGAGACAGAATACCAACCAAAAAATCCAGAAAAAAACACATTATATAAAGGATAGAAATAGATTTGGATTTTAGTGAGTGAAATAAGTATTTGATCCCCAAGCAAAACATGACTTGGTACTTGGTGCAGAAACCCTTGTTGGCAAGCACAGAGGTCAGACGTTTCTTGTAGTTGGTCAGCAGGTTTGCACACATCTCAGGAGGGATTTTGGTCCACTCCTCTTTACAGATCCTCTCTAAATCCTTAAGGTTTCTTGGCTGTCGTTTGGTAACTCCAAGTTTCAGCTCCCTCCACAGATTTTCTATAGGATTGAGGTCTGGAGACTGGCTAGGCCACTCCATGACCTTAATGTGCTTCTTCTTGAGCAACTCCTTTGTTGCCTTGGCGGTATGTTTCGGGTCATTGTCATGCTGGAAGACCCATCCATGACCCATCTTCAGTGTTCTGGCTGAGGGAAGGAGGTCTCCGTCCAAGATTTTACAGTACATGGCCACGTCCATTTGCC